GTGGAAGCAGAGCAGCAGCAGCAGTGCAGAGACTGTGACCCAGCGAGGAGGAACGGAAGGAGTGCATGGTGCCGACGACTAGGTGAGATTCACAGTAGCACCGACAGATGACAGGTAGCATACTGGCACGTGGCAGATGGCATACCAGCACGTGGCAGATGGCATACCAGCACGTGGCAGATGGCATACCAGCACGTGGCAGATGGCATACCAGCACGTGGCAGATGGCATACCAGCACGTGGCAGATGGCATACCAGCACGTGGCAGATGGCATACCAGCACGTGGCAGTGCGGGCCGGAGGACTCAGCGGGTGGTTGCGGTGGCGGCGAGGGAGGGCTGAAGGGCTCCGTGAGGTCCTGCCGTGCCAGCCCAGCACAGCACAGCACCGCACCGCACAGCACAGCACAGCACAACACAACGCAGCACAGCACAGCACAGCACAGCACAGCACAACACAACACAACACAGCACAGCACAACACAGCACAACACAACACAGCACAGCACAACACAACACAGCACAGCACAGCACAGCACAGCACAGCACAGCACAGCACAGCACAGCATAACACAACACAGCACAGCACAGCACAGCACAGCATAACACAACACAGCACAGCACAGCACAGCACAGCACAGCACAGCATAACACAACACAGCACAGCACAGCACAGCACAGCACAGCATAACACAACACAGCACAGCACAGCACAGCACAACACAACACAACACAGCACAGCACAACACAGCACAACACAGCACAACACAACACAGCACAGCACAACACAGCACAGCACAGCACAGCACAGCACAACACAGCATAACACAACACAGCACAGCACAACACAACACAACACAGCACAGCACCGCACAACACAGCACAACACAGCACAGCACAGCACAGCACAACACAGCACAACACAGCACAGCACAGCACAGCACAGCACAACACAACACAGCACAGCACAACACAACACAGCACAGCACAACACAGCACAGCACAACACAACACAACACAGCACAGCACAGCACAGCACAGCACAACACAACACAGCACAGCACAACACAGCACAGCACAACACAGCACAACACAGCACAACACAGCACAACACAGCACAACACAGCACAGCCATGGGGATGGGCGTGCGGTTGGTTGTGAGAACCCCAGACCAGACGTGCTTTGGATGCTCCATAAGAAAGGCGAGGGGGGTGGAAAGACGTAACTGGAAATTCATGCAGACTGGAGAGGGCAGCAAGGGAGGGCAGCAAGGGAGGGCGGCAGGGGAGGGCGGCAGGGGAGGGCGGCAGGGGAGGGCGGCAGGGGAGGGCGGCAGGGGAGGGCGGCAGGGGAGGGCGGCAGGGGAGGGCGGCAGGGGAGGGCACCATAAATGTGGTGTTGGGGCTGTTGTCGTGCCGCTGACAGTCAAAGCACTGTACGATGAGATAGGGGCCATGAATGGCATGCATGCACCGGTGCACAGGTGTCACACAGGTGTCACACAGGTGTCACACACATGCACGGATATACACACATACGCACACACATGCACACATACACAGACATGTACTCGCACGCACACACACACACACACACACACACACACACACGCACGCACGCACGCACACACACACACACACACACACATGTATGCAGAGACGTATGGGAAGAGGGATGTGGGTGAAGCTGGGCCCAGGGCACGAGTATTTTAACATTCCAAGAGACAGCCTCCAAACAGGCAGGCAGGCATGCAGGTGGCAAGCAAGGCAGTGAAATGGCGGCGGAGAGGCAACTCACCCGGCAGACGCAGCAGAAGAGGCGACTCACCTGGCAGACGCAGCAGAAGAGGCGGTCGAACGACAGCGCTGAGTCCCACAGGTCCCCCTCCTCCTGCCCCTCCACTGCTCGCCGCCCCCCTGTTGCTCCCCGCCCCCCTGTTGCTCCCCGCCCCCCTGTTGCTCCCCGCCCCCCTGTTGCTCCCCGCCCCCCTGCCACCACGCCATCCCACCACCACGGCAGCATGCCAGCAGCATAGACGTTAGATGTGATGCTTGCACATGTGGTGTGTGCTGTGTTGGGCACGGCAGGCTGTGGGCACGGCGTTGCTGGCTGCATGGCATGGCAGGCTCCATGCCCCATTCAAGGCCCCATTAGCGTCAAACTATGAGCATGAGCATGACCATGAACAGGAGCAGGAGCATGAGCATGAACAGGAGCAGGAGCATTTGAAGGAGATGCGCATGGAGCGATGGAAGGGCAGGCGGAGGGTGGGCAGCTCACAGATGGCGAGTGAGCGGCGCTGCCCGTCCAGCTCCTGGAACGTTCTGCCTCCCTCCACCGCTCGCGCCATGGACGCCGAGGGATGGCCGATAGGCAGCGGAGAATGGGCGATAGGGATTTAACCGAAGTGAATCGACCACGGGGAATGGACAACGGGGAATGGGCATCGGGAGATGAGTTGCTAGTAATATTAGCTCGTAGGAAATGTGGGAGTGTAAGCAAGGGTCGGTGGGCAATGGGCGAGAGTGAGAGAATGCGATGAGTGGTGAGCACCTGAAAGGCAGCTCCTGGGGCGCACAAGACGCGTCTCCACGGGTGGTGGCGGCCATGCCCGTCACGCCCGTCCCCTCGCCCTCGCCTGGCTTCCCCTTCTCGTACATGTCTGCACGCACCCCGTTGCTGTCATGCGATGCGATGCATGCTCGCACACACACACGCACACATGCATGCACACATTCACACACGCACACATATGCGCGCGCGCGCACACACACACACACACAAACACACACACACACACACACACACACACACACACACACACACACACACACACACACGCACACGCACACACACACACACACGTACATGCGCGAGCAGACACACACGCACACAGATGCACGCACACACACACAAAAATACATTCGTACATACACACAATAGTACTGGCACGCACATAAAGCACTGAGGCGAAAATGTGGCTGATATCGCCGGCCCACTCCTTGCCGCCTCACTCCCTTCCGACTCACTGGGAGGCAACGCGCCAGGCAGTGTAGCGCGGCAGGCCCGCCACCGCCGGGAGGAACGAGACGCCGCTCGCCTTCCTCCCTGCCGCCTTGCCCCTCGCCGCGCCCTTCCCCCCCGCCTCCCGCGCCCCGAGCGCATCTTCTCCCAAGCGGGTGCCCTGCGGGGGCCCTCCACTGCGCCCGCCCGCACCGGGCGCCGCCACGAGCTGCGTCGTGTGCTGGCCGCCCCACCACTCGCCGCGCGCCTGGGTGCGTCGGGCCCACGCCAACGCCACGTCGTCCTCGTTGCTCCTCACCACCCTCGCAGCCTCCTCCCCCGACAATTGCGTCTGCCGCCCCTCCTGCTCCGCCTGCCCCGCCTGCCCCGCCTGCCCCGCCTGCCCCGCCTGCCCCGCCTGCCCCGCCTGCCCTACCTGCACCTCCAACCCGCCTGTCTGCTGCACCTCCTTCCCCGTCTCCCCTCCGTGCCTCGCCTGCCTCGTCTGCCCCGCCTGCCCAGCACACACGTGGAGGCGAGAGTGGCAGCATTGGGGCATGCAAGGCAGCATTGGGGCATGCAAGGCGGCATTGAGGCATGCAAGGCAGCATTGGGGCATGCAAGGCGGCATTGCATTGGGCCACGAGCGGCGAACCATTCTCACATCGGCGCGGCTCCACCGGACGGAGAGCACCTTGAGCTCTGAGAATGTCGTTGCGTGAACTACACGCGCTCAACCCACCTCAGAGTGGCGCCCCGCCATGGCAGTGACGAAGCCGGCGACGAGCTCAGCGCCAATCACCGAGAGGTCTGGCAGCACACATGAGGGCGACAGATGGCAGCACACATGAGGGCGACAGACGGCAGCACACATGAGGGCGACAGACGGCAGCACACATGAGGGCGACAGACGGAGGGTGACGCAATGCTGGAAAAGTTAACGACAGCGCCGCAATAGATGGCAGTCCGAATTCATTCATAGATTGAAAAACACCCCGGCATTTCTGCCTCTGGCGCACCCATTTTCGCCCACCTTCCTTCGTCGCCCACCTGCTTATTCGTCGATGAACGACGCTCGTGAGCGCGACGAGCGAAGGCTGGGGGCGAGGGCCGAATAAATAGAAGCGTACAAATGCTGTCAAACCCTGGGAGGGCCCAGGACGTTGAGTAAGTGAGACGACGCACTGCGCTAGGAAGTGATCGACGCGAGCGGCAGCAGTTCAAACCAAGTAGAGGAAAATCTAGAGTGAACGAAGGGAAAACTGGTTCTGTGCTGGCTTGTGCTCTTCTGGGAAGAGCATGAATTTCAATTTTTCAAAAGCTGAAGGGCGAAGCGCAATGCAGATGAAATGATTTTCGTGCAGATGTTGCAAACCAAGTGCACCGTACCGCACCGAGGCGCACCAGGTGAGCACCAGCCCGCGCCAGTCGTGCGACTCGTTACAAATATCATGAACCAGTGAAGTAGTAAGTGGCTAAGCAGAAGATCATAACACATTGCATAAAACTTCAAAACATTGTCAATCAGCTCAATTTACCTTGATTCAAGTTACTATTAACAATATATATAAAAGTGGTTTATTGGTTTACTATATTTATATATACGACACCGCATAATCATACGACGTCTTCTTCATTGGTTTATTTAATTATGCTGCTATAACCATCAGCTGAATGGCTGTTATGAACAAAATGTAGAAATGCACGAAAACATGCTCCACTTACAGAGCTTACGCGCTCGACGTGCACTTTCCTCACGTTCTGAGCGCGCTCTGCTGCATCTCACGCCGTGCGCCAGACCCTAAACCCCCGTCGCCTCCTTCCTCCATCGTGCTTTCCCAACCGCACTTCCCCCTTCCGCCTTGACCCCGTCTCGCGCTCTCCACTCAATTCAAATTTCGGCTCCCTCTCAGATCTCTTTCCATTTTCCCTCAGATCTTGTAGCCCTGATATTTTGTAGGATACCTGTGCGCTTTCCTGTTGCTGGTCAACTGAGCCATGGACGGGCAGAACAACGCGCACGCAGGCGGCGAGGCCAGTCAAGCGGGCGGTAGTGGCGAGCGGCGGGAAGTGCCGAACCGGCAGTTCTACCTGCAGGTGGCGAACGCGACGACGGCCATGCAGGTGGTGGCCGGCGAGATCTCCGCGCTCTGCCGCCTCGCCGCCGGTAAGCGCTGCGCCGCCCGCATTTGCCTCACGGACGTTTGTTCTGCACTTGCGCATGGTTAGCCACACGCGATCTTATTTGACTCTGTTCTCAGCCCGGTTTTCTTCTCTTTCCTGCACTCCGCGTGCTCGTCCTCGTTTTCTTCCGCAAGTGGTGCGACCACGTGGTTTCATCTGCATTGCCGCCGGAGCTGCATTGTTTTCCGCGTCGCACATTGTCAAGCCTCGTACGTCTTGCCCCTCGTCACGTCTCTCTCGTGCGCCGTGCTGCAGACGGGGTGGCCATATCGGCCGTCAGCCCGCTCTTCAGCACCTTCGCCGCCTTTCCCAACTTCGACCCGCTTCACTTCAAGGCCGCGGCCCTCGCAGTTGCCGCCGCTGCCTCTTCGCTCCCCGCTGCCGGAGCGAACGCTGCCCCCGGCCCAGGCTCAGCGGTCGCGGCATCCCCCGCGGTCGCCGCCACTCCCGACGCGGCTGCTGCTAAAGCGGTTGCGGGGCCGAGCGGCGGGAAGGAGGAGAAGGCGAAGAAGGAGAAGCGGCCGCTGTCCGCCGTGCAGATGGCGATGACGCAGTTCCTCTCCGAGGAGCGCGACCGCCTCCTCGCGCAGGGCGCCGCCTCCACCCCCGGCCAGGCGTACCAGATGGCGCGACGGCGGTGGAACGAAATGCGCGAGGCGAACGGGCAGGGGAAGAAGAAGAACAAGGGGAAGAAGCCCGATGCGGAGCACGAGGAGAAGCATGGCGAGGAAGGCGAAGAAAAGGAGGAAGGCGAGGAAAAAGAGGAAGGTGAGGAAGTTGAGGAGGTACCGATTCAGCTGGGCGACGCGGCGATGGAGGAAGGTGAGGAAGGGGAGGAGAAAGAGGAGGAGAAAGAGGAGGAGAAGAAGGATAAGAGCAAGGGCAAGGCGCGTGAAGAGGAGGAAGCAACGGGGAAGAAGTCGGGCAAGGGGAAGGAGAAGGTGGCTGAGGACAACGGCCCCGCTGGTGGCGGCAGCAGCGCGGGTGGCGGCAGCAGCGGAGGCAAGAGGCGCAAGAGGAAGCAGGGCGACGAGCGCGTGGCTACCTCGCCTGCCACCACGCCCGGGACCTCCGCTGCTGCCGCCACTGCTACCACTCCTGCTGCTGCCCGCTCTCCTGCCAGCACTCGTGCTGCTGGCACTCCGGGCGGGGAGGCGAAGGCAGGCAGCACGCCAGGCAAGCAGGCGAAGAAGAAGAAGAAGGCGCAGGGAGGGGTGACGCCGGATAAGGCACAGTGAGTGAAAACCGGCTTTGGTGAACGTCGGCCCACTGACATGCTACACAGTTGTAATTCCGTTTAACAGGTAAGACTAGGACTTTTGATTAACTAACAGGGCTGTGCGCAGAAGTGCCTCTGTTTAGAGATACATAACCTACTGACCCATAAGGTCATTGCTTGTCCTTCCATAGTTAGCAGTATGTTCTTGTTATTGTGCAATTAGGGTATGGTAGATTCGTGTAACAGGGAAATAATGACAGGGTCCCTTCCCGTTAGATTGTAATAGACAAATAGTGAAACTGTTTCCTTGTTTGCATCAGCAAAAGACGAACTGTTAGGCAACTTGGATTACCGCACATACCACCGGTGTTGTAAGAATTTACACTATAATGTTCACCGGAGACCAGGGTTTAGGGTGCTGTCATGAGTTTGCCCTGAAAATGTTGATGTTACCGTAGATTTTGGCCTGTAATGTTGTGTGTTATACAGAGGAAGAGCGGGGTAGGAGGAAAAGGAAGAGGGGAGGAGGATTGTTTTCCCCAACGAATTTGTCCCACCATCTCACAAAAAACTCTTGCAGACTGTTTGAGCTGGAGGGCACACTATGGTAGGGTAGAGCTGTTGTACTCATTCGGGTGCTGTGATTTCTCAGCCTTGAGAGCACAGTATGAAGTAATGCATGTGCCCTGAAAATCAGGAAGGCCATGAAACTTTGCCCTAAAAAAACATGGCATTTTGAAAACAATTTAAGAGTTGCCCTGAGGCCTCAGGATGCCCTAAATCCTAGGTAAGGGCCTGGTTTAGGTAGACGCAGTAACACCAGGGGCAAGCTGAAAGCAGACTAGAGTGTGAGTGATGAGCAGTCAACCTCACAGACAGCTGGCCGCACGGCGAGGCGAAGTGGCATGAGGGCGAGGCGAAGCGGCATCACAACTCATCCTCGCTGTCCAGCACAACATCCTGCATGCACCATGCAGCATGCACCATGCAGCATGCACCATGCACCATGCACCATGCACCATGCACCATGCACCATGCACCATGCACCATGCACCACGCACCACGCACCACGCACCACGCACCACGCACCACGCACCATGCACCATGCACCATGCACCATGCACCATGCAGCATGCAGCATGCAGCATGCACCATGCACCATGCACCATGCACCATGCACCATGCACCATGCAGCATGCAGCATGCAGCATGCACCATGCACACCATGCACCATGCACCATGCACCATGCACCATGCACCATGCACCATGCAGCATGCAGCATGCACCATGCACCATGCAGCATGCACCATGCACCATGCACCATGCACCATGCACCATGCACCATGCACCATGCACCATGCACCATACACCATGCACCATGCACCATGCACCACGCACCATGCACCACGCACCGTGCACCATGCACCATGCACCACGCACCATGCACCACGCACCGTGCACCACGCACCGTGCAGCATGCACCATGCAGCATGCAGCATGCAGCATGCAGCATGCACCATGCAGCATGCACCATGCACCATCCACCATGCACCATCCACCATGCACCATCCACCATGCACCATGCACCATGCACCATGCACCATGCACCATACACCCACCATCCACCATCCACCATGCACCATGCACCATGCACCATGCACCATGCACCATGCACCATGCACCATGCACCATGCACCATGCACCATGCACCATGCACCATGCACCATGCACCATGCACCATGCACCATGCACCATGCACCATGCACCATGCACCATGCACCATGCACCATGCACCATGCACCATGCACCATGCACCATGCACCATGCACCATGCACCATGCACCATGCACCATGCACCATGCACCATGCACCATGCACCATGCACCATGCACCATGCACCATGCACCATGCACCATGCACCATGCACCATGCACCATGCACCATGCAGCATGCAGCATGCAGCATGCACCATCCACCATGCACCATCCACCATGCAGCGTGCACCATGCACCATGCACCATGCACCATGCACCATGCACCATGCACCATGCACCATGCCCCATGCAGCATGCACCATGCAGCATGCAGCATGCACCATGCAGCATGCAGCATGCACCATGCACCATGCACCATGCACCATGCACCATGCACCATGCACCATGCACCATGCACCATGCAGCATGCAGCATGCACCATGCACCATGCACCATGCACCATGCACCATGCACCATGCACCATGCACCATGCAGCATGCAGCATGCAGCATGCACCATGCAGCATGCAGCATGCAGCATGCACCATGCACCATGCACCATGCACCATGCAGCATGCAGCATGCAGCATGCAGCATGCAGCATGCACCATGCACCATGCACCATGCACCATGCACCATGCACCATGCACCATGCACCATGCAGCATGCAGCATGCACCATGCACCATGCACCATGCAGCATGCAGCATGCACCATCCACCATCCACCATGCACCATGCACCATGCACCATGCACCATGCACCATGCACCATGCACCATGCACCATGCACCATGCACCATGCAGCATGCAGCATGCAGCATGCAGCATGCAGCATGCAGCATGCACCATGCACCATTCACCATGCACCATTCACCATGCACCATGCACCATCCACCATGCACCATGCACTACGCACCATGCACTACGCACCATGCACCACGCACCATGCACCATGCACCGTGCAGCATGCAGCATGCACCATGCAGCATGCAGCATGCAGCATGCACCATGCACCATGCAGCATGCACCATGCACCATCCACCATGCACCATCCACCATGCACCATGCACCATGCACCATGCACCATGCACCATGCACCATGCACCATGCACCATGCACCATGCACCATGCACCATGCACCATCCACCATGCACCATCCACCATGCACCATGCACCATGCACCATGCACCATGCACCATGCACCATGCACCATGCACCATGCACCATGCACCATGCACCATGCACCATGCAGCATGCAGCATGCAGCATGCACCATCCACCATGCACCATCCACCATGCACCATGCACCATGCACCATGCACCATGCACCATGCACCATGCACCATGCACCATGCACCATGCACCATGCACCATGCACCATGCACCATGCACCATGCACCATGCACCATGCAGCATGCAGCATGCACCATGCACCATGCACCATGCAGCATGCAGCATGCAGCATGCAGCATGCACCATGCACCATGCACCATGCAGCATGCAGCATGCACCATGCACCATGCACCATGCACCATGCACCATGCACCATGCAGCATGCAGCATGCAGCATGCACCATCCACCATGCACCATCCACCATGCACCATCCACCATGCACCATGCAGCATGCAGCATGCACCATGCACCATGCAGCATGCACCATGCAGCATGCAGCATGCAGCATGCACCATGCACCATGCACCATGCACCATGCACCATGCACCATGCACCATGCACCATGCACCATACACCATGCACCATGCACCATGCACCACGCACCATGCACCACGCACCGTGCACCATGCACCATGCACCACGCACCATGCACCACGCACCGTGCACCATGCACCACGCACCGTGCAGCATGCACCATGCAGCATGCAGCATGCAGCATGCACCATGCACCATGCAGCATGCACCATGCACCATCCACCATGCACCATCCACCATGCACCATCCACCATGCACCATCCACCATGCACCATCCACCATGCACCATCCACCATGCACCATCCACCATGCACCATGCACCATGCACCATGCACCATGCACCATGCACCATGCACCATGCACCATGCACCATGCACCATGCACCATGCACCATGCACCATGCACCATGCACCATGCACCATGCACCATGCACCATGCACCATGCACCATGCACCATGCACCATGCACCATGCACCATGCACCATGCACCATGCACCATGCACCATGCACCATGCACCATGCACCATGCACCATGCACCATGCACCATGCACCATGCACCATGCACCATGCACCATGCACCATGCACCATGCACCATGCACCATGCACCATGCACCATGCACCATGCACCATGCAGCATGCAGCATGCAGCATGCACCATCCACCATGCACCATCCACCATGCACCATGCACCATGCACCATGCACCATGCACCATGCACCATGCACCATGCACCATGCACCATGCCGCATGCAGCATGCACCATGCAGCATGCAGCATGCACCATGCAGCATGCAGCATGCACCATGCACCATGCACCATGCACCATGCACCATGCACCATGCACCATGCACCATGCACCATGCACCATGCACCATGCACCATGCACCATGCACCATGCACCATGCACCATGCACCATGCAGCATGCAGCATGCAGCATGCAGCATGCAGCATGCAGCATGCACCATGCACCATGCACCATGCACCATGCACCATGCAGCATGCAGCATGCAGCATGCAGCATGCACCATGCACCATGCACCATGCACCATGCACCATGCACCATGCACCATGCACCATGCAGCATGCAGCATGCACCATGCACCATGCACCATGCAGCATGCAGCATGCACCATCCACCATCCACCATGCACCATGCACCATGCACCATGCACCATGCACCATGCACCATGCACCATGCACCATGCACCATGCACCATGCACCATGCACCATGCAGCATGCAGCATGCAGCATGCAGCATGCAGCATGCAGCATGCACCATGCACCATTCACCATGCACCATTCACCATGCACCATGCACCATCCACCATGCACCATGCACTATGCACCATGCACTACGCACCATGCACCACGCACCGTGCACCATGCACCATGCAGCATGCAGCATGCACCATGCAGCATGCAGCATGCAGCATGCACCATGCACCATGCACCATGCACCATGCACCATGCACCATGCACCATGCACCATGCACCATGCACCATGCACCATGCACCATGCACCATGCACCATGCACCATGCACCATGCACCATGCACCATGCACCATGCACCATGCACCATGCACCATGCACCATGCACCATGCACCATGCACCATGCACCATGCACCATGCACCATGCACCATGCACCATGCACCATGCACCATGCACCATGCACCATGCACCATGCACCATGCACCATGCACCATGCACCATGCACCATGCACCATGCACCATGCACCATGCACCATGCACCATGCACCATGCACCATGCACCATGCACCATGCACCATGCACCATGCACCATGCACCATGCACCATGCACCATGCACCATGCACCACCCAGCACATGCGCTGACATGGTGAGACAGATGCACCATGTGGCCTGGCAGGCTCATTGTGCCCACCCAGTGCACGGCAGAGACGGCAGGGAATGCTCATCGTGCTTAGTAAGGCCCGACAAGGGAAGACAAGGCATGCATGTGTTGGCAGCACGAGTGGGAAGCACAGCACAGGGGTGCGTACCACGATGGTGGAGAGGTCGTCCAGCGGTGGGCTGACATCCCAGCGGTACAGATAGCCATCGGCACAGCAGCACACCACGATGCTGCACGCACCACCATGCACACACGCACTCTTGTCAGCCGTGAAAAGAGCCTGGCAGGGGATATTCGTCTCGTTTGACCACTTGGATAGGTGGTGCATGAGTGTTGCATGAGTGTTGCATGCGCGAGCAGCGATGCATGAGTGCAGTTGAAATGTTGGCTCACCTGGCATCGAGGGCCCACCTGGCATCGAGGGCTCATCTGGCATCAAGGGCTCACCTGGCATCAAGGGCTCACCTGGCATCATGGGCTCACCTGGCATCATGGGCTCACCTGGCATCAAGGGCTCACCTGGCATCATGGGCTCACCTGGCATCATGGGCTCACCTGGCATCATGGGCTCACCTGGCATCATGGGCTCACCTGGCATCATGGGCTCACCTGGCATCATGGGCTCACCTGGCATCAAGGGAAAGCGCAATGGCTGTTATTGGCGCGTTGGTGGGTGGGCGCAGGCTGCAAGGCAGAGAGGCAGTGCGGGGGAAGACGGGTGTGATGAGAATGAGGATGACTCATGATGGCACGAGTAGCAACACGTGCAGTGGTGCATGGGCGCATGGAGGACGTTCACTCGCTGCACTCATGTGTTGTGATGACCCACCATGTGATGACCCACCATGCGATGACCCACCATGTGATGACCCACCATGCGATGACCCACCATGTGATGACCCACCATGCGATGACCCACCATGCGATGACCCACCATGTGATGACCCACCATGCGATGACCCACCATGTGATGACCCACCATGCGATGACCCACCATGTGATGACCCACCATGCGATGACCCACCATGTGATGACCCACCATGCGATGACCCACCATGCGATGACCCACCATGTGATGACCCACCATGCGATGACCCACCATGTGATGACCCACCATGTGATGACCCACCATGTGATGACCCACCGTGTGATGACCCACCATGTGATGACCCACCATGTGATGACCCACCATGTGATGACCCACCATGTGATGACCCACCGTGTGATGACCCACCGTGTGATGACCCACCGTGTGATGACCCACCGTGTGATGACCCACCATGTGATGACCCACCATGTGATGACCCACCAATGACCCACCGTGTGATGACCCACCGTGTGATGACCCACCGTGTGATGACCCACCATGTGATGACCCACCATGTGATGACCCACCATGTGATGACCCACCGTGTGATGACCCACCATGTGATGACCCACCGTGTGATGACCCACCATGTGCCGCACCACCCACCTGAGCTGCTGTGAGGGGTCGGCCATTTTCAGGACCTTCACTTCACTCGTGCCGCTCCCTGCCATCACGAGCCCAGCCATCGCAAGGCATGGTGGGCTGACTTCATCGTGACATGATGAGCAGGCATTACGAGAACAACACAACCACGCCTAGAGCTACCACTCTTAGGGCCGTCCCCCTTGAGGCTTCCCCCATTTCCTTTTGCTTAGGGCTGCCCGCAGTTAACTTGTGGCAGCACCATGCAATGCAGCATAAGAACTCATCGCCGTGGGATACAAGGGCATGCAGCTGAACGACATGCACCGCAGTGGACTGTGGTGGAGTGCAGTGGAGTGGAAAGTGGCTGAATGCAGTGGAATGAAAAAAGAATATATTCAAGTGGGGTGAAATGCAATGGAGAGCAGAGGAATGTGGTGGAATGTGATGAAAACTGGAATGCGGTGGAATGCGGCACCTGGATCCCCACACAAACACAAGCACAGCCCAGTGGGCGAGGGCGACCTACGGAGGGCGATGAAGCGCTGTGTGGCCGTCATGGCGAAGCGCGGGGGGCGTGGAGGAGAGGACGAGAGGGCGCGTGGAGGAGAGGCCGCGTTGCGAGTGGCGTTGTCAACAGCGGGTGGGCGCGCAGCAGAGGGGGGAGGCGTGTGCAGGTGGAGGACTGTTTGGGAGGTGCCCTGTGGGTGGGGAGGTATGCATGCATGGCAGGACACGGGCATGAGATGGCATGGCATGAGATAGCAGTGACAGTGGATAAAAACATGTGGGCGCATGGCATGGCATGGCATGGCATGCAACCAGGCATCGTTGGCGCACCCCCAGTGATGCACTATGAAAACATTGGGATTTAAATTCGAGATGTGAAAAGCGCAACCAACAAGGATACATCATTGCATGACGAACATGTGAGTGGCATGACGAACATGTGAGTGGCATGACGAACATGTGAGTGGCATGACGAACATGTGAGTGGCATGACGAACATGTGAGTGGCATGACGACCATGTGAGTGGCATGACGAACATGTGAGTGGCATGACGAACATGTGAGTGGCATGACGAACATGTGAGTGGCATGACGAACATGTGAGTGGCATGACGAACATGTGAGTGGCATGACGAACATGTGAGTGGCATGACGACCATGTGAGTGGCATGACGACCATGTGAGTGGCATGACGAGCAGCATGAGAGGCGGCACATTCGTTGCCTGCTGCCCGCCACGCACCTCCTTTATGTCGACCTCTTGCCTGGAGATCCACCGCCACAGCTGCACCGCACCTGCCGTGCACTGCAGCACAGCACAGCACCGCACAGCACAGCACAGCACCGCACCGCACAGCACAGCACAGCACAGCACATCACAGCAGAGCACAGCACAGCAGAGCACAGAACAGCACAGCACAGCACAGCACAGCACAGCACAGCACAGCACAGCACAGCACAGCACAGCACAGCACAGCACAGCACAGCACAGCACAGCACAGCACAGCACAGCACAGCACAGGACAGCACAGGACAGCACAGCACAGCACAGCACAGGACAGCACAGCACAGCACAGCACAGCACAGCACAGGACAGCACAACACAGCACAGCACAGCACAGCACAGCACAGCACAGCACAGCACAGCACAGCACAGCACAGCACAGCACAGCACAGCACAGCACAGCACAGCACAGCACAGCACAGCACAGCACAGCACAGCACAGCACAGCACAGCACAGCACAGCACAGCACAGGACAGGACAGGACAGGACAGGACAGGACAGGACAGGACAGGACAGGACAGGACAGGACAGGACAGGACAGGACAGGACAGGACAGGACAGGACAGGACAGGACAGGACAGGACAGGACAGGACAGGACAGGACAGGACAGCACAGCACAGCACAGCACAGGACAGCACAGCACAGGACAGCACAGCACAGCACAGCACAGCACAGCACAGGACAGCACAGCACAGCACAGCACAGCACAGCACAGCACAGCACAGCACAGCACAGCACAGCACAGCACAGCACAGCACAGCACAGCACAGCACAGCACAGCACAGCACAGCACAGCACAGCACAGCACAGCACAGGACAGCAGAGCAGAGCAGAGCACAGCACAGCACAGCACAGCAGAGCAGAGCAGAGCAGAGCAGAGCAGAGCACAGCACAGCACAGCAGAGCAGAGCAGAGCAGAGCAGAGCAGAGCAGAGCAGAGCAGAGCAGAGCAGAGCAGAGCAGAGCAGAGCAGAGCAGAGCAGAGCAGAGCAGAGCAGAGGAGAGGACACACCATACTTGTGTTGAGTTGGGCCAGCTGGAACAGAGGTGGAAGCACGGAGGATAAGGCCTGCGGCAGTGATTGGTGAACACCCATCAACTTGCATAGGTGAGAGCCATTGCATGCACACGACACGACAATGCACGGCAGCGACACACACTGACAGCCAGTGCGCAGGGCAGGGCTGCTTTGAGCACAGCGCGGCTGCAGCAATGCACTGCCTGCCGTTCACTCAGAGGTAGAATGAGAGGGTACTGTGAGAGTTTTGGTCACATCAGGCGGTCACAGTGGCACGACAGGAGTGGCAAGGCTGTGGGCATGATGACGTCACCATTGTCACGAAGAGGCCTCCATACATGGCGACTTGCTGCACCGGGGCCCAGTGCACCCTCGCTGCCACGAAACCCTGCCCGCATGCACAAGTCAAGGTACACAACGGCACAGGCACAGGACACGAATTCATATGATTCTTAACAGAATGGAACACAATGGCTCATATGGTCACAGGGAGTGAGGTACGGTGCAGCAGAGTGTGCTCTCCACTGCTGCCTCGTCCAGAGGTGTGGCATGGACTGGAAAGGTGAGTGGGAAGCAGGGTTGTGAGAGGTTGTGTGTAGAAAGCAAGCACTCACGGGCAGCGCGACTTGCTTGGTGGGGAAGTCGGACGGCCTTCCCTCCCAACCCGCTGCCAGGCGCATGAGTGGCCTTTGCTCTGCCACGCCCGCCACACCATGTGCGTGAATGAGGACGAGGAGGGAAGTTTCAATGAGAAATGATAATGACAATGAGAACGAGTATGCGCACACACCTGTGAGGTCCCACACACACCTGTGAGGTCCCACACACACCTGTGAGGTCTCACACTCACCTGTGAGGTCCCACACACACCTGTGAGGTCCCACACACACCTGTGAGGTCCCACACACACCTGTGAGGTCCCACACACACCTGTGAGGTCTCACACTCACCTGTGAGGTCCCACACACACCTGTGAGGTCCCACACACACCTGTGAGGTCCCACACACACCTGTGAGGTCCCACACACACCTGTGAGGTCCCACACACACCTGTGAGGTCCCACACACACCTGTGAGGTCCCACACACACCTGTGAGGTCCCACACACACCTGTGAGGTCCCACACACACCTGTGAGGTCCCACACACACCTGTGAGGTCCCACACACACCTGTGAGGTCCCACACACACCTGTGAGGTCCCACACACACCTGTGAGGTCCCACACACACCTGTGAGGTCCCACACACACCTGTGAGGTCCCACACACACCTGTGAGGTCTCACACTCACCTGTGAGGTCCCACACACACCTGTGAGGTCCCACACACACCTGTGAGGTCCCACACACACCTGTGAGGTCCCACACACACCTGTGAGGTCCCACACACACCTGTGAGGTCCCACACACACCTGTGAGGTCCCACACACACCTGTGAGGTCCCACACACACCTGTGAGGTCCCACACACACCTGTGAGGTCCCACACACACCTGTGAGGTCCCACACACACCTGTGAGGTCCCACACACACCTGTGAGGTCCCACACACACCTGTGAGGTCCCACACACACCTGTGAGGTCCCACACACACCTGTGAGGTCCCACACACACCTGTGAGGTCCCACACACACCTGTGAGGTCCCACACACACCTGTGAGGTCCCACACACACCTGTGAGGTCCCACACACACCTGTGAGGTCTCACACTCACCTGTGAGGTCCCACACACACCTGTGAGGTCCCACACACACCTGTGAGGTCCCACACACACCTGTGAGGTCCCACACACACCTGTGAGGTCCCACACACACCTGTGAGGTCCCACACACACCTGTGAGGTCCCACACACACCTGTGAGGTCCCACACACACCTGTGAGGTCCCACACACACCTGTGAGGTCCCACACACACCTGTGAGGTCTCACACTCACCTGTGAGGTCCCACACACACCTGTGAGGTCCCACACACACCTGTGAGGTCCCACACACACCTGTGAGGTCCCACACACACCTGTGAGGTCCCACACACACCTGTGAGGTCCCACACACACCTGTGAGGTCCCACACACACCTGTGAGGTCCCACACACACCTGTGAGGTCCCACACACACCTGTGAGGTCCCACACACACCTGTGAGGTCCCACACACACCTGTGAGGTCCCACACACACCTGTGAGGTCCCACACACACCTGTGAGGTCCCACACACACCTGTGAGGTCCCACACACACCTGTGAGGTCCCACACACACCTGTGAGGTCCCACACACACCTGTGAGGTCTCACACTCACCTGTGAGGTCCCACACACACCTGTGAGGTCCCACACACACCTGTGAGGTCCCACACACACCTGTGAGGTCCCACACACACCTGTGAGGTCCCACACACACCTGTGAGGTCCCACACACACCTGTGAGGTCCCACACACACCTGTGAGGTCCCACACACACCTGTGAGGTCCCACACACACCTGTGAGGTCCCACACACACCTGTGAGGTCCCACACACACCTGTGAGGTCCCACACACACCTGTGAGGTCCCACACACACCTGTGAGGTCCCACACACACCTGTGAGGTCCCACACACACCTGTGAGGTCCCACACACACCTGTGAGGTCCCACACACACCTGTGAGGTCCCACACACACCTGTGAGGTCCCACACACACCTGTGAGGTCCCACACACACCTGTGAGGTCCCACACACACCTGTGAGGTCCCACACACACCTGTGAGGTCCCACACACACCTGTGAGGTCCCACACACACCTGTGAGGTCCCACACACACCTGTGAGGTCCCACACACACCTGTGAGGTCCCACACACACCTGTGAGGTCCCACACACACCTGTGAGGTCCCACACACACCTGTGAGGTCCCACACACACCTGTGAGGTCCCACACACACCTGTGAGGTCCCACACACACCTGTGAGGTCCCACACACACCTGTGAGGTCCCACACACACCTGTGAGGTCCCACACACACCTGTGAGGTCCCACACACACCTGTGAGGTCCCACACACACCTGTGAGGTCCCACACACACCTGTGAGGTCCCACACACACCTGTGAGGTCCCACACACACCTGTGAGGTCCCACACACACCTGTGAGGTCCCACACACACCTGTGAGGTCCCACACAGCCACTCTGCCGTCTTCCCCCGCCGTCACCACCGTGGTGCCCTCAATGCCACTCACGTCCTGCCCCGCCCGCACGGGGCAAGCAGGTCAAACGGGTCAAGCAGGTCAAACAGTGATGAATGCAGATGCGAGACACAGAGAAAACAAAGAGGCAGTGACAAGAGAAATGGAGAAGGGGCATAAGAGGCAGTGCATGCGAGCAAGTGAGCAAGGAGATACAAGCGTAGCCATGGACCGTCTCATCCCACCACACTGCGCCACCCCCATCCCACGCGCCCCACCCCCTTCCATGCGCCATGCCCCACCCCCCTGCCATGCGCCATGCCCCACCCCCTGCCATGCGCCATGCCCCACTTCCCCCCTGCGTGGGCGCACCACGGAGAGCACGGGGGCGCGGTGGAGGTTGAGGAGGATGGCGCAGCACACCCCGGTGCCCACGTGCCACACCCACACCGACGTGTCCTGGCGTGACGTGACGGCGCACGGCACGGCACGGCACGCATGGGGGACCCGGGACAGCAGTATGGAGAGCAGGGATGTAGGAGCGGGAGAAGGGAGAAGGGAGCAGGGATGCAGGAGCAGGGATGAGTATGGAGAAGGGAGTGTAAGATGGAGCGGGAGAGACGGGAATAGAGATTGATATAGAGGGCAGTGGAGCGTGAGCAAGAGAATGCGGTACGAGGCGACAGGCATGTGCGGCGGAAATGAAAGGGTGGGAGGGGGCGGGGTGGGGGAGAATGGCAACCCCACAGCAGCCGTGCGCGCATGCGTGTCACGAAGCTGATGCTGGGTGTGGGGAGTGAGGTGGAGGGTGAGTCAGTGAAAATGAGTGAGGTAGTGAGGTTGAGAGTGAGGGAGTGGGTAGAAACATGCGTGACTCACTTTGCTGGCAGAGAGGAGAATGGACGGCTGAGATGGATGCGCACAGAGATCCGTGACGGCACCCCCCTGCCCCATCAGCGTCTGCATGACCATCCAATAAAAGATGGCGGGACATGGCATGGGATGGCATAAGAGAGCAGGACATGTATTCACATTCAAACAACTGCCCAGGAGCAAGCATGCATTGCAAGTGGGCATGGCGGGGCACACCTTGAAGTGGCAGCGCGAGTGGAAGTCAAGGATGCGCACCACACCCAGTTCGCCGCCCGCCGCCACCAGCACTCTCTCCTCCTCATCCACCATCCACGCCACCGCTGTGTAGCTCTCAACCCCCCTCGCCTGCTCTCACATGGGACGACGCCAGACAAGCAAGCGGGCAGAGAGGGGTGCATGTTGCACGCGTGTGTGTGTGCAAGGAGCAGCAGCACGAACACTCGGGCCATATCATGGGAAAGCAAGGCGCTCCACATGCAGCAACTCGGTTCGAGCACATGCACTTCAGCTTTGGCGCACCTCAGCGGCTTGGGCCATGTGCGCTCCTCCTGCCCACCCTCACCCGCTCGCACGCAATGCCGGCCCACAAGGACAGCGCGGTTACCACCTGCGGTGCCTTACAAGGACAGTGCGGTTACCACCTGCGGTGCCCCACAAGGACAGTGCGGTTACCACCTGCGGTGCCCCACAAGGACAGTGCGGTTACCACCTGCGGTGCCCCACAAGGACAGTGCGGTTACCACCTGCGGTGCCCCACAAGGACAGTGCGGTTACCACCTGCGGTGCCCCACAAGGACAGTGCGGTTACCACCTGCGGTGCCCCACAAGGACAGTGCGGTTACCACCTGCGGTGCCCCACAAGGACAGTGCGGTTACCACCTGCGGTGCCCCACAAGGACAGTGCGGTTACCACCTGCGGTGCCCCACAAGGACAGTGCGGTTACCACCTGCGGTGCCCCACAAGGACAGTGCGGTTACCACCTGCGGTGCCCCTCATCTAGGTACCCGGATGCCATATGTTACATGAGGTGCGGACGCTTCAGGGCTGTGGGCGTTAGGCTCACTCGCCCCTGTGGTGGGCGGCGTTGCATCCACCGGACGTGCAGCCTCCCCGCCCGCCCTCTCCTGCCCACGCATGGCATGGCATGGCATGGCATGGCATGGCGCAAAGTGGTTTTGACCAACAAGTGATATCTCCCTCACATCAACTCCTACTTGTGGAGTAAGCAGGAACCATGGTGAGTGGGTGTGCTTGAGTGCTCTCACGGTGAGATGGAAGGAGGTGTGAGTGTGGGCAAAGGAGCCATCACCCTTGCACTCCAACAGCATGATCTGGGGGAGGGGAGTGCCACGCACACAACACAGCAGGGAGTCAAACTCGCAACTCAGGCACTTGCAAGGAAGCGGTTCTGGATCATGCCGTGCAGAACGGGACGAGTGAAACAAATCACCATGCAGGGCGGGAGGGGCGGGAGGGGCGGGTCACCATGCAGGGCGGGAGGGGCGGGTCACCATGCAGGGCGGGAGGGGCGGGTCACCATGCAGGGCGGGAGGGGCGGGTCACCATGCAGGGCGGGAGGGGCAGGTCACCATGCAGGGCGGGAGGGGCGGGTCACCAAGGTGGAAAATTGCGCTAAGCGAATTTTTCGAACCGAAAGTTTCGATCGAAAATTTCGGCCGTTTTTTTAATTTTTCGGCGAGATTTTAATATACCAAAAAAAAAGAAAAGAATTTTTCTAAATTTACCTGGAGGCGAAATGCCATATCCGCCCTTAATTTTATGGCGAAATGCTAGACCCGCCCTTTATTGGATGGCAAAATGCCGGATCCGCCCTAAATCTGATGGCGAAATGCCAGATCTGCCGTAGATCTTACGGCGAAATGCCAGATCTGCCTAGATCTAGCAGCGAAATGCCAATAAATAATCCACCCATAGAATATTATAAATTTACACACGTTTTTCTAAAAAAATTCCTGAAAAAATTCGGGCGAAATTTTCCACCAATTTGTTTTTGGAAAGGGGGACCGAAATTATCGGAAAATACGTTCGAAAATTTCGATAGCGAAATTTTCGCCCAAAAAATGAAAAATTCGGCGAAATTTTGCACCCTGGTCACCATGCAGGGCGGGAGGGGCGGGTCACCATGTTTGTGGAGACGCATGCGAGGTGGTTGCTGTAGCGCGGATGCCACGTGTTGAACGCCATGGCGGCCGGCACCCTGCCATCGCCATCCTCGTCCCACCGCAACGCTGCCTGCAGGGGGCGTTAGCGCAACACACGCGCGCACCATGCGGGCGCAACGCAACACGCGGGAGCACCACACGGGAGTAAGACACATGCATTGCGAATGAACGAGTGTGTGGAAAGAGAGAGTTGATTCGCAGAATGCATTGCAACAAAAAGCAACACAAGCTCACTAAGTCTGTCTGGCAACAAACACAAGACATCACGCTACTGACGACGCAAACGGGAACCCCTGACGCACTCTGAGTGTGGCTTCCGGCGCCTGCCACGCCTTCTCTGTCGCTGCCGCCTCTGTCGCTGCCGCCTCTGTCGCTGCCATGCACCGCTGCTGGCTCGCCGGGAAACGCGCGGACACGCGAGAGGCTGCGCGCGGCGTGGCAGGTGAAGAAGGCGGGAGACGCGCGACGAGTCGGCGAGATGCAGCCTGCGCTCGCTAGCCCGCTGTGCGCGTCGCTCGCTGGCCCGCTGTGCGCGTCGCTCGCGCAATATCACAGTGTGAGGAGCGGTGAGGTGAGGGAGAAACGGACACTGCGGGAAGAGGGATGACGTGGAAGGAGAGGGGAGGGACGGGATGGAGGGAGTTGGAAGCAGTTGGCAGTGGAGCAGCACCAGCGATGGTGACAGAGCGCACCATCTCCTGTAAGTACCTATTTGAATGCAAAACAAGCGGATACGCTTCGACTGTATTTTGGCAATCGCAGTGTTGCTGAGCGGCCGCAAAATGGCGGGTTTGAGCACGTGCGTTGGCTCGCTAGGATGTCTGGAAAGGAGTTCGGCCGTCATGGACTCACAATGCTCGTAAACCGGAGTATCGGGCAGAAGGCCGTTTACGGGGCAGCGGGAAGAACGGCCTTCTAACCTCGGATTTCGCGATCGGAAATCAGAGAACTGATACCCCGACACCACGAGTTTAACCTTCTGGGAGCAAGAGTTAATACATACGTCCGAGGTCGCTCGAATTACCTAGCAATGACGTCGAACTCCTTACTTGTCCAACTCGCTGCGCGAAGGTACATTTGAAAATAAGACCGTTTGAAGAAAAGGGACTGGATACCCGTTTTTGGCTCTGGACAATGAACGTTGATACTCAGTGCATAAAATCGGAAATTCCATAATTTGGCTTGGAAAGATGATTTGAATATGTAAAGAAGCAACTTTTCCTTCCTTCGCATCACCCCACATACTGCGTAGAATCATAATTCCGCCACTGTACACCCAACAGTAGTTGTTGAAGAGACTAGGCAAGGTTGGTTTGACTATCGAGAGAAATTGTACAAGTAGGAAAACCGTAAGGGGTTATACCCCATAGAATCTAGCCCACTACAGCCTACTAATAACTGTAACATATAACCTATATATGTTTAACACACCCCCATAGGCAAAGTGGGGGAGAGCAAGAGGTCACAAGACCAGTCAAGCAAAGCAAACTCAGGGTGGATCACAACGTCACCACACACTCTGAGCACAAGCAAAAGGCCACAAGGCCAGTTCACATGCAGAGGCATATGCAGCAAGAACAGTACAGTGATCTCTACCTGTTGAGATAGCTAGGCAAGGTGAGTTGACTATCGAGAGAAATTTTACAAGTAGGAAAACCCTAAGGGGTTATCCCCTATAACATCTACCCCACTACAGCCTACCAATATGTATCACATATATATATCATTTGACACACCCCCATAGGCAAAGTGGGGGAGAGCAATGGGTCACAAGACCAGTCAAGAGAAACAAAACAAGCTCAGGGTGGATCACAACGTCACCACACATTCTGAGCACAAGCAAATGGCCACAAGGCCAGTTCACATGCAGAGATATATATGCAGCAATGACAGTACAGTGTCGAGCTACCTAGCAAGAGCCAGCATGCAGGTATATAGGTATGTAGATCACAGTACAAGCAAAGACTACAGCAAGTGTGGAAGCATAGGCACAAGGCCTAACAGAGTACAAAAGCGCTGATGATCACCAGACGGAAGTGCCTTGGTGAATATATCAGCAGTGTTGGCCCGAGTGGCCACGTAACGAAGACAAAGCTGGCCTCGCTGCTGCAACTCTCGAGCCAGGAAGTAACGCAGAGCAATGTGCTTCGTTCTGTGCTCCAGTCTGTGCTCCTCACACAAGGCAATGGCGGCCTTGTTGTCAACGTACAGCACTGGAGGAGAACGAGGCTGCTCTCCCAAGTCAGTCAGCAGGTAGGTGAGCCAGCGTAACTCCTGTGCAGCCATGGCGGTGGCGTAGATCTCAGCCTCACAACTGGAGCCAAGAACTGAAGACGAGCGTGTAGAACGCCACGAAACTGAACCAGAGCCAAGGCTGAAGGTGTAACCCTGTGACGACCGCTGAGTAGCCAGGTCGTCAACCCAAGAAGCGTCTGAGTGCCCAGTGAGGACAACTGGGCTCGTCCCTCCAAGCACTAGCCCCATGCCTGATGTGCTGCACAAGTAGCGCAGTACCCTCTTAGCAGCAGCCATGTGCTCAGGTCGGTGTCGACCAGGAGCCACGTAGCGAGCGAGGAGACCAAGAGGGTACGCGAGGTCAGGTCGAGTGCAAGTCATCAGGTACATGAGGCAGCCGACTAGCTCTGGGTAAGGACCACTCGGCTCTACGGACTCGTCCGAAGGTGGAGCTGAGAGCGTGTGACCTGTAGCCAGAGGAGTGGCCTGTGCTGAAGACCAGGTGAAGCCGAAGCGCTGAAGGACCTGCTGCACCATGTGTGACTGAGTCAAGGTGATGGTGCGGCGTGCTCTGTCCCTGGTGATCTGCAAGCCAAGGTAGCTGCGCAGCTCACCCAAGTCAGTGCACGTGTGTCTCTTCTGTAGCTCCGACTTCACGTGGGCGAGAGCCTCAGTGTCAGCAGTGGCAAAAACCAAGTCGTCGACGTACACGAGGATGTAGAACGGCGGCAGTGAAGTGTCTGTGCGCAGAAACAGCGACGGGTCAGCTGTAGAAGGCGCAAACCCAAGAGCCGCAAGTGTCGTCCTCAGTGTGTCGTGCCACTCACGTGGCGCCTGGCGGAGACCGTAGACCGGCCGTCGGAGGCTCCACTGGGTGCCAGGAGGGAACGACCCAGTGAAGCCCGGGGGGCGGCGCAGCCAGATCTCCTCGTGCAGGCTGCCCTGTAAGAAAGCAGTGCTGAAGTCAAGAGAGTGAAGCTCGTAGTCACGGTGAGCAGCAACGTGCAGCAGCACCCGAAGAGTGGTCATCTTCGGGGTGGGGGAGAAGGTCTGGAAGAAGTCAACTCCCTCTCGCTGACTGAAGCCTCGAGCCACGTAACGCGCCTTGAAGACAGGCGGAGAACCCGGCGGCCGCTTCACCCTGAAAATCCACATGCCACTGACGATGTTCGCCCCAGGTGGGGGAACCTCGTCGACATAGGTGCCTGTGGACTTCCAGGAAGCCATCTCTGCGTCCATGGCTGCCTGCCACTGAGAGGAGTAGGGACTCTCTATCGCCTCTGCGTAAGAGCGCGGAGTCGGGATGTCTGGTGCATCCGGGTCTCCCTCAGGGGCAAGTAGCGAGGACACAAGATGAGGTAAAGCAGCAGCAAGACACTGGAACTCCTCCTGCCTGTCCTCAAGGACGTCCGTGCTAAGAGCACACTCACCCCCGACGGACGGAGGACAGACAGACGCAGACGCAGCAACAAGACTGGCGGCGTAGTCTAGACGACAGGCAGCAGCAAAGTCAACAAGCTCAGCGACAAGAGCAGACGCAGCAGTAGACTCAAACGACGGGTCAGTGACAACAGTGGCTAGCAGACGCGTGACAGTAGGGTGCTCAGCACGAAACCGGTCAGACTCAGGGTCTGGAACGTCAGGTAGAGAGGACGCAGGAGGAGACGGAAGAGGAACAGGCTGCAGAGCAGAGGAAGGACGACGAACTACGAGGTGTGTGCTGGGGACAGCCTGCTGACGCGAACGAGGAACACGACGACCGGGACGAGCAGGCGAGACAGGACGCGACACAGGCTCACGACGCTCAGCAGGACTACCAGTCTGCTCAGTGTAAGGAGAAGGAGCAGGCAGCGGTGAGCCAGGCTGTAACGGAAGACCAGTAGACGACGGGAGAGTAAGAACCTGACGAAGAACAGAGTCAGACGGCGGCAGAGACGACGGAGACGGCGGAGCGAAGAACAGTCGTGTCGGCGCAGCTGCATCAGTACCGGCAGCTCCAGCAGCTCCAGTACCCCCAGCAGCTCCAGTGCCTCCAGCAGCTCCAGAACCTCCAGCAGCTCCAGAAGCTCCAGTCCCAGAGTCGTCACCTCCAGTCCCAGGGTCTCCAGCCCCTGTGTCTCCAGCAGTAGCACCCCCAGAACCAGCACCCCCAGTCCCAGGGTCTCCAGCCTCAGTGTCACCAGCAGCAGCACCCCCAGAGCCAGCACCTCCAGTCCCAGGGTCTCCAGCCTCAGTGTCTCCAGTACGAGTACCTCCAGAACCAGCGACTCCAGCACCTCCAGTAGACAAAGGTCCAGCACCACTCCTAGCTCCAGCAGCGCGACGCTGACGGTGACCGTACCAGTCCTGGAGCTGCTGTGGGGTGAGAGGCACACGTGGACGAAGGCGGCTACTCCAAGGAGACCGCGCAACAGCAGACTCAGAACCCTCAGCGCCAGCACCCCCAGCTGCTCCAGAACCTCCAGCGCCAGCACCCCCAGGCTCCTCACGCGTAGGCTCAGTACTCGCAGACTCGGCACCCGCAAGCTCAGCACCTCCAGGCTCCTCACGCGCAGGCACAGCACCCTCAGACTCGACACCCCCAAGCTCAGCACCGCCAGGCTCCTCACGCACAGGCACGGCATCCCCAGACTCCGCACCCCCAGGCTCAGCACCCCCAGAGACAGCACCCCGAGCAGGACCACCTCCAGCAGGACCTGAGTCACCAGTGACCTCAACAGGCGCAGGTACCGGAGGGTCTACCTGAGAAACACCTGAAGGAGCAGGACCTGGCGCGGGGAGGGGGTCTACCTGGGGAGGACCTGGAGCGAGAAAGAGCGGCGGGGGGGGGCGAGAGACAGTGCGGTAGGGAAAGAGACGGTAGAAGGGAACAGACTCGTCAAAGGTGACGTCCTGAGACGCAAAGACACGGCGCGAGGTGGGGTCGTAAAACTGCCAGCCAGGCGCGTCAGGAGGAAAACCAAGGAAGACGCAGGGAATGGCACGAGCAGAGAGCTTGTCCGCGGTGAGATCGCGGACAAAGGCACGAGCACCCCAGACCCGGAAACGCGACGCATCGCCAACCTCCCCCGTCCACAGCAGTGTGGGCGAGGTCTCCGGCAAGGAGACACGGGGCCAGAGGTTGAGCTGATGCGCGGCGTACCGGACCGCGAACGGCCACAGAAAATGGGGAGCCGCCGCATGGATCATGGAGGTACGAGCGATCTCCATGACTAAGCCAATGCGGCGCTCAGCAACCCCATTCTGCTGCGGAGAGGCCGGAAGCGTGAACGACTGGGTGATGCCGTGCTCCGCACAGAAGGCTGCCAAGAGGTCAGAGGAGAACTCACCACCTCTGTCAGAGTGCAGACGCAGGACAGGAAAGTCCCGCTCGAACCGCTCGCGGAGCTGGAGACGCACAGCGCGGATCCAGGGGATCAAAACAGCAGGGACGTCTCCCTTGCTGCGCAAGGGGAAGACCGTGGTGTAACGCGTGAAGTCGTCGACAACCAGCAGAAAGTACCGCTCACGGCCCTGTCCCTGGACGCGGGCTGGGCCCCACACGTCCAGGTGAAGCGTCTGCAGGGGAGCCTCTGTGGGAGGAAACGAGGAGGAGTGAGGAGCGGCGCGCTGCCGCCCCTCGACGCAGGGAATGCAGGGCGGCGCAGGCGAGGGAGGGAGGGCAGGCAGAGACCTGGGAAGCCCAGAGACCAGAGAGCGAGAGTGCATGCTACGAAGGCGAGGCAGGGAGGGGTGACCAAGGCGGTGGTGCCACAGGAGCGTGTCGTGCGACAGGCGGCGGCACTCACACTGGGTAGCTACCTGAGCAGACGCGTACAGCTGTGGAGACAAAGGAGCGGAGCGTGAAACAGTGGTGAGGGTGTACAGACTGGACCCCGGCTCACGAGTGAACGTGGCCAGGTGGCGGCCAGTCTTGGAGCACGTACAGATCGCCACACG